ATTTGCAATATTATTACCAAAATAAGGAGACCATTTGTGCCTTGGCACCGAGGAATATGAACCAAAATGTAAAGCAATGTATCAAAAATTCCTCTATTCACTTGCATATTAAAAATGAAAAGGCAATATCTAATATTGCTAATAATCATTTTATTGCGCTGATTTCATTTGAAAGCTGTTGCTCGTGGTCAGTGACTTATACTCGAATATTCGAAATTAAAATTGTCAAGTTAAAAAATAAAAACCACAACAACAGCGACAATTTAAAAATTGAAATTAACAAAGAAAAATTAAAAAGTCTCGTTTAAGACCGTTTCGGTTGCACTTTTAAAGTAATACAAAAACTAAGAGAATGTTCCATACAATTGATTTATTACAGCAGCAATAAGTGATGTATGGATAAAAACGATGCAAATAACATTTTCAAAAAAAGCAACTTTTCTTTTGTTATAACGGTAGATTTATTAAAGGAAACTACAGGAACTCCTACAGAAGGTAGCAGAGGAAAGCGAGAAGAAAGGACTAAACACTAATTGCAAGAAGACAGAATTCATGATTGTTGGCAAAAGGAACACCCGAACATACAAATTACAAATTGGAAATACTAAAAATCAAACAAGTACAACAATTTGAATATCTGGAACGTGTTTTAACAGAAGACGGAAAGTGCAACACTGAAGGCACACTGGGATAACGAATGATCCCTTTCAAAAGCTAAGCAAAGTATTAAGAAACTGACAAATTTCGTTAGAAACAAAGAAAAGAACACTGAACTTTTACGTAATATCAATCCTCCTATATAACAGTGAATGCTGGAGATTTTCCTCGCAGATGAAGAAAAGTCTTTAAGCAACAGAAATGTGGTTCTACAGAAGGATGCTGAGAATATCATGGACTAAAGATGTGAGCAAGTACGAATTTTTAAAGAAAATCTAAATAAAAAAAAGGACTCTTATATTTAACACCCGAAAGAGACAGTTGATCTTTCTGGGGTCACATAATGAGAAGAGAGGGTTTTGCAAATTTGATACTCTCATTACGACTGAAGACAAGAGGGAGAGAGGAAAAAACGCGTATCCTACCCAACGAGCTTGAGTAAATGGATGGCAGAACAGGGTTTTAGGAGAAATAAAGGAATAGACAAAATTAATAAAGAACAGGAAATTTTGAACAGTTATAATTACCAATGTCCTGAAGGGACACGGCAAATAGAAGATGAATGTGAAAAAAATGTACACTTTATATATGATGCAGTTTATGTATGTTGTTTACATACCGACATATAAACATGTGGAGAAGCAATGGTATCACTTTTTCGGGTTATATTTGAAATCTCTCAAAATAAATAAATAAATAAAATGAAAATAAATTGTAGCCTCTTGTTAATATTAAGGACTGCATGAATAGAACGATTTCTGATTGGCTCCACTATTAAATTAACCATTTTTGCGATTTGATTTGCGTACGCATATATTCTATGTTAGGTACCGCCAAAGAAACGCTATACCTAACGTTTAAAATGATTTTTTTCAAAATGAAAAATCTTTCTTGAAGCTTTTATTTTAGTTTTAATTTCAAGCTAATAGATTAAATTTGATATTTCCAATATGCAAAATACTTTGCTGCATTTCAAAACTAATTTAAATTGTCTGGAAGGAGTTTTTGTTTAGAAATCGCTAAAAGTCGATGATTTTAGCACCGTTTTTAGCTGTCTCTCAGCACATTGTAATTCTCTTTATTAAAAAATTCTTTCAAAAATAAAATATACTTTTCTGAAACTTTGAGGAATATTAAATAATTTAAAGTCGAATTAATTTGATTTGAAAAAGAAAAATGTATTTACTTTTAGATTAAACTATCGCATAAATTTTGTAACACTGAGATAGGTGTTTGTTTAAGGTGTTGATAGGTTGACAACTTGACTGACAGCTGGAAGTTTATCTAATTTTTTCCTACAGGGGAGATATCTGTAAAAATTACTTGAGGAATATAACTAAGCACCTTTTTTTATATATAATTTTAACTAACCAGTAATCATAAAAATTTAAGAAAATATTCTCCGGAATCTAATATTTTATTGAATTTGATTTACTTTGGCTTTAAATTTACAATAGTTATCGCACTAATTTTCTGTTAATGTCGTGTATGGACGTCCGTATTGACAAACATCGGCACGTTTATACACATAAAAAAAATTTAAAATTCTTTTTAAAATATATAAGCTTTGCCATTTATGATTATTAAATATAGTTTTTACTTAATAACAATATCACCTAACCAGTAAAAATTACTATAGAAATTTAAAAGATTTAAAACTATAAATTATTCTAATTAAAATTTTAAAAAATGAAAGCAATTCTTGTAAAAATTCATTATTCATCGAAAAAAAAATTTTTTCTTGTGATAATAGTGGCTTAAATATATCTTATTTATAAAAGCAATTAAAAGCTTTTTACGATTCAGAATAGATTTTTGGTAACTGGGGGTCCTGTTTGGGGGATAACAGATAAAAAAATGTTCTTACCAAGATTTTCGAAGAAAAAAAAAAATTTCTAAAATTTAATTAATTTGTGAATAAGTCCTGTTTCATTAAAATTCGACAAATATTAGATTTTTGTAAAGATTTCAAAATCATTGTGTTTTTCATAGCAAAAAAAAAAAAAAAAAGACGCTAACATTTCCTTTCTTTGATTCCCCTGCTGACGCAGAAAAAAAAAAGTTTTTTAACCAAAATACTGAACGTTCTAAAAAGGATAAAAAAATATAATTTAATATTCAAAAAATCCTTTGGTCTTTCCTCTTAATAATAACAAAAAGATGTTGATAAAACACAATTTTTATTAAGTTTGGGGCATTTTTTCATCATGGTATACTCATTTTTTAGTGAATCTGTAGAGATACCTACACTATAATATATATCCAGTATAATTATAAAATAATTGGTATAATTTTTAATGTTACTAACACTAATTTGGGTTTCTCAAAATAATATTTATTTATTTTCTCATAAAAGTTTTTTTTGTTTTTTTTTTCAACCAGTAGCTAAATTCAAATTTGAAAATTTCCCTCTTGTTTTTTACAATTCATTTTTTTCTCATTACTTTTTTTTACTATTTTTTATTCATATTTTAACGGAACTCTCATCTGAATATAATTTATTATTTCTCATCCATGTTGGATACATAACGGTCGTAGAATTTACAAAGCAACAAAATAAAAGGTAAATAACAAACTAGTTAAAAATCAATACTGATGATCCTGCATCATTTAAGAAATCCTGAGTTAATTTTTTTCTTATAATTAATTGATAAAATTACTTTTCAATAGTATTCCTTTTTTTTTATCTTAATTTATTTGGGGGAAGAAAATTATTTCATCTAAAAATGAAATAATTTGAAACAAATCTTAAAACTAATTGTCCTTATTAAAATGTCGAATTTTTATCATTATGGCATTCGTGTGAATTAAATACACCCCACTTCAAAATAATTATATACAATAATTTATAAATGCATAAAGAGATTAAAAATCAAACAGTTTCGTTTGTAAAACAATCAACAGGTTTATATATATATATATATATATATATATATATATATATATATATATATATATATATATATATATATATATAACGCCAACTAAATGTTAGTTGGCTTTCTCTTTTGTTTGAATATGCAAAATGACACAAAAACGTAGAAATATTTCAATATTGCAATATCGATACACTTGTTTGTGAGTAAGCGTCCGAATGAATGTGTCATCAAAGACCAGGAAACGTGATACTGTTTTAATGTTAAAAGCAAAAAAATCTTCTTAACAATATTAAAACGTATCAATCAAGTGATTCACAGCACATTATTAACATATAGCTATACATACGTACGCTGCCACACAGGTGCACACATACAAACTATCATACGTACGCACACATACATAAAGAAGCGTTCGGTTAAAAAGTAATCATTTTAAATTTAAATAGCTTTTTCTTTTTTTACTTTTATACTTCTCCCTCTGTTTAAATAATCTAAATAAATAAATATTATATGCATGCAAACAAAGTAGCTTAAAAATTAACACCATTGTGTGACACCGAAAAAGCAATTTGTCAATCAAGTACATTTATGAAACTAACAAATAAGAAGATACGAACAGCTGTCTTACTGAGTTTCCGATTTCCTCCGATTGAAGCCGAAGTAGCTTCGGCTATGGTGACAGGCGGTCTCGGACCAATAGCAACAAACGGCGTGCTACTTAGTGTAAAGAGTGGGACGGATCAGGGACAACAATAACTAACCACTGAGAGACTGGGGGACGTGGCTGTGAACGGTGATGACGACACAAGTTGTTTCAGCTCGTAGCTAGCCGTCAGTTGTAGGCTGTTACTCGCCCATTCAGTCATCATCTCGCCGTCTCAATCAGTGACAATATATTTATAAGCTCATTAGACGCTTGTTATTCGAACACGTTATATTCTCACTCACTTTCGTCGACTTTTCCGCATTCGTTACTCGACGATCCACAAATGCAAAAAAAGAAAAACAACAACACATTTGGATAATACCTAAAAAAAAAAAATTGTTTTATTATTTATTTATTTTTTATTTTTAGAATTTTTCCAACAATTTTTAATCATTTTTTTGTTTGTTTATTTATTTATCGACGTCTGTATTTTTTTTTCTTTCTTCTTCATCATCATCTCCACCAAACGGAAAATGCTGAACATAAAATATCAATGACTTTCCTGAAAAAATAATAATTTTTTTTTACCTTTTTGTGGTAACTGTTACACGTCCGAATTTACTGTTCAGGTTTCTGGGCGTTTTTCTTGTTACCTGATGAGAATCATATCAGGTCGCTTTTATTTTTACTGACCATATTGTTCGTGTATTTAAGTAAAAACAAAACAAACATAATTAAAAAAAGAAAAAAAAAAAAAAGGTGAAACTTTACTTGAAAAATACTCCCCCCAAAAAAACAGACTCCCTATCAAACAGAGGATGAGCACATCATCAGACGAGGAGCGTCCTCGTGTAGCTGAGGTAAGCTCCGTCGTCCCTTCCGGAACGCTGGTAGGTGCGGGTGGAGGAAGTCAGCAACAGCATTCTACCCCTATCTTTATTCGAGCCGCAGATCGCTACCCACGAACTCCGAAGTGTGCTCGATGCCGTAATCACGGTGTAGTGTCGGCGCTTAAAGGTCATAAACGCTACTGCCGGTGGCGGGACTGTGTGTGTGCAAAATGTACGCTGATTGCCGAACGACAGCGGGTGATGGCTGCTCAGGTGGCCCTGCGTCGTCAACAAGCGCAGGAGGAGAACGAAGCCCGCGAACTGGGATTGTTATATGGACCGAATGGTCTACTCACTATTAATCCGGACAGTATGCCACTTTTCCAAGGCGGTGCCGCCCCCACAAACTCTGCCGGATCCCCAGGGGTGACAGCAACAACAACCACTGCAGGTGATGTCCGAGCAGGGGGGCCTGGAGTCAGTGGTCAAGGAGGTCATATTACCACCGTCTATTCTGACAACAGCAACTACAACTGCGATACTGCTGTCAATGGAGCAAGTCCAG